AACCGGAACATGAGAATTCCCATAGTGCTTTGCGTACATAGTTTTGATATGGCGCCGAGTGCTGAGGTAAACTGAGTGTCTAGCTGGATAAATTCTGAATTAATACCTTATTTTGAGAATTAGATGTTTCCTTTTGTTACAGAGCTTCACAACTTTTCAATCTTCGTGTGTGAACATTACTTTAACGTGTGTTGTCATGGTAATTATTTCAGTGTCTCTATTTAATCGTGTTGTCATGTGTACTGCTGGTGCTGTCATTCGTTCATCGACTTCAAAACATATCCCAATGTTTCTTTATTTCACGATTTTTTTATAATCCATCTTATTTGAAGTTCCTTAACTGCTTTGGTGTCCTTTAAAAAGGAGATACTATATGCCTTAGAGAAACAGAAATGCCGTTGAAAACTGGTAACTTGAAATGATAATGATACCGTACGTGTCCAGGTTGAATGACATTTCAGCGATTAAAGAACATCATTTGCATATTGAAATCATCATTACATGGCTAAGAAAACAAAACTCTGAGTATATAGTTAAGCATATACTTTGTCCAGACTAGCTATTGTAACGTATGGGCTGAGACGTATATATTCTGTAATATATACGTCTCTGGTATGGGTGATTGTAAATTATTGTAAAGCTAGTTTATTTTGGGAGAAATCATTTGAATTGTTCAGGAATTCTTTAAATGTCAACCCATTCTTTTTCTCCTTTTGATTCATAACCAAGATTGATTAATAATGTCTGAATAAATATTGTTTAAAATGTCATAAATTGACAGTAACTGTTTCATTATGACATATGATCTGAACTCACATTTATATATAAGCTCATTTTATGATAATTAGTTTTATGCATTTAACAGGACCAAAAGGCAATTAGGATGTTGATCTCCTCTTTGACTTATCAAAGTTGTTAAACTTTTAAGATTTTTTTTCCACAGAAATTGTGATAGTGGTATATGTTGAAAAAAATTGGTATGATAATGAATATAAACATTTTTTAATATATAATGTTTTATTTTTATTTTCCACTTTTCCAGAACAACATGGATGATAAAGCACAAAGAAACACAATTGTATTCAATGCCTGTAAAAGTGAAGTGTTCACACCCAGCAATGGGTTAAAGACTCTCAACAGACGACTTAGGTCAACATGGAAGATTGTAAGGTATGTGTAAGAAAACTAAAGATACAGGTTTAATCAAATCTGTTCCATAATTAAGCCTTGTGTCTGAAACAAAATTTTATAGAAGTTTTCGTGTCCCTTCCTGAAAGGGGGAATTGTTTTTTACTCTTTTATTGTCGTGCACTTCAGAATCCTGACCTGTATATTGTACCAGTGTACGTGCATAAGCTTAAAAAAAGAACACTTGCAGATATCAAGATCAGTAATAACATTTTTATGGTCATTTATATTTTGAAGCCTTTAATAATAATGAAGTTGGATATATAAATAGTATTTTACTTACTCAATTTGTATACAACAACTTACAATGTATATATGTGTATCTTCCAGTAAGTCAATGCTTCGTGCTGCTGCTGATTGATGAATAACAAATCTTTCCCCAACAAAATATTTGGAAAATTGTCCAATAGGGTACACATTATGTGCTGTCCTGCAGTACTCTACATGAAGAGTTCATATAAATTTATGTAGCACATTAAGAAGAAAGAAGATGAAATCTGTAATTGATGTCGAAACTTGTGACAATTAGCAAAGATGTTTACCAGGCTATTTTGAATTACCTGTAATTTATTGTTGTATAAGCATGAATTTGTCAGAAGGTCTTAAATGTTGATTTGGAATTATTTCAGCAACAAAGAAGAAGTGACGCTGGACAGACTTGCTGGTGCAAGCATGTTTGTGTTATGTGGCAGTCGAGAAAAGTTCACTGGAGGAGAGGTACAAAGCTTGTGGTTTCTTAACTCATTAGAAAAGTGATACTAAAATTAGAAAAGTAAAAACAGTAATGGCACAGTATTATATAAGTACATGTACTATTAGTTCTACAGTGATCATTAAAACTTAATTTGTGGATACATCTAGAGGTGTTTTATATATCAAATGTAGGTCACTGTCACCGACATATTCTGCTTTATTGACTTTGGTTAGACTTAATGTATAGCTTCGTTTCATTGCTAAGACTCCATTCTATCAAAGTGGGATTAGGGACATCGGTGTATTTTACAAACATTTTCTGGATTTATTGTTTTTTCAGTTTGATGTGATGAAGAAATACATGCAGAATGGTGGCAGTCTTCTTGTCATGTTGGGAGAAGGAGGGGAATCCAGGTTTGACACAAACATCAACTTCCTTCTAGAAGAGTTTGGAGTTATGATAAATACAGGTGAGTTTGACTTGGTGACCATCAGAAATGCTGTGCTACCTCGTCTGGAGGTCACTTTTTCTTATAAAATCTCAGGTTTATATGCAAGGTGGGAGATTATAGCCCTTTGAATGTCATTTCTTTTGATAGTGTTTATAGAAACTTGCAGTAGGCATCAATAATATAGTACTGGCACATTTGGTAAGAAATTAAGAAAACGTTAGCAAAAATGTGAGAAAAAGGATTTAATTGCAATGCAGACACCTTTTTAAGCTATGGATTTAGTGAGCTGTGGTATACATGTATGTCTTTTCAACATCTTTACAAATAGAGAGTTAGACAGTACTACATTATAATATTATTTATATGTCAAAATAAAAATCTGTCCTCTGGAGCTGGAAACCTGTCCATTTGGACTAAAGGGTTAGATAAACACTGAGGGGATTTCAGGCCAGATGGCAGTAATTGGGGGAGGAAGAATTGGGGGTCTAAAGTGATGCAGAGTCACAAAGTATTTTTGACATATTTTTCAGATTCTGTTGTAAGAACATCATATTACAAATATTTCCACCCGAAAGAAGCCTTAATAGCCAATGGTGTACTTAACAGGTATGTTGATAAAGGTTTATAAATCAAGGAAATATTACTAGATAAATAATCATTTCCACAATCTGTTATAGCCAATGGTGCACTTAACAGGTTTGTTGATAAAGGTTTATAAATCTAGGAAATATAACTAGATAAATAATCATCTCCACAATCTGTTATAGCCAATGGTGTACTTAACAGGTATGTTGATAAAGGTTTATAAATCTAGGAAATATTACTAGATAAATAATCATTTCCACAATCTGTTATAGCCAATCAAATGAATTGAATAGCAGGCGGAGTCTAAAAATTCTTTCCACATACAAATATCTTAACATTGGTTCATTTTAAAGTTTTGAAGTGTAAAGGCACCACTCACTGAAAGTGTGAAGTGTATTGTGACAGATGTGATAGTTAATACAATTAGATAGTGTAAATTATATCAAGAGATGGCTATATTTCGTGCTTTTTCTTATGTCTAGAGCTGTCAGTCATGCTGCAGGAAAAACATTTTCAGCGACAGAAGATGAAGAAAATAATGCACAGTAAGTAACTATAATAGTTCAAACCTTATTTCACTGCCACTGTTTGTACTGTGACATTTAGGCATTATAAAGGAATTTGATGATATATCAAAGTATCAAATGGAAAGGGCAATATAAAACATGTTGCCTTCATAGGTCAAGAAAATCACCAAGGATCATTCTGATCTGAAGCTGAAAGGTTTATGTGTACCATTTCAGAATGATCCATTTAAAAAGTGGATAAGAGCTTCACTTAAATAAGAAATAAAGTATCACAGGAAAATATCCCAATTTATTACAATATCATTTTGTGTTACAGGGCACTGTCATTTCTGTACCCCTATGGAGCCACATTAAATGTGATGAAGCCGTCCGTGGCTGTCCTCTCGACAGGCAGTGTGTCCTTTCCCCTCAACAGACCTGTGTGTAGCCTCTACCATTCAAAGGTAAGTTCTCGTGATGAAATAAGATATTTACTGTTTATGTTCATAGATCTTTTCTTTTAAATATATTGCCAAACTCTTTTTATTATGATATTTTTTTCTTGAAAGTTTTATTGTATATAACTATAAAAAGTTTTAACTTTTTTATAAGAAAATGTTTTAATTGTTTTTTATTTTACTTCTAGGGAAATGGAAAGCTTGCAGTAGTAGGATCAACACATATTTTCAGTGATGGTTACTTAGATAAAGAAGAGAACACAAAAATCCTGGTATGTTGTATTTCAAGACTGGAAACACACACTAATTCATGATCTTTCCATGGATACTGTATATAAAATTCCTTTGATCTTTGCTTGACTTGCTTAAAAATGCCCAGGCATTGTTAAGTGAGACAAAGATCACAAAAATACTACACTTTCAGCTTAAACGATCAATTTCAAGTCATTGGTGTCTTGTTAGAGTCCACATCACCCTGGTTTTAAATGTTAGAGACTGTAAGGCATGTAACTGAGCTTAGATATGGCATAAAATGCATTCTGTCATCAACATTTCCTAGATGAGTTTAGACTTTTGTGTTGTATATGTTGAAGGAAGTTCCGAGCCAATTTAAAGGCAGGGCCCAGTAGAAAGGAAATGATGTTGAGGGAGTGTTTAAAATCTGAAGTATGGATTATGGGATTAGAACCTAATTTGAAAGTTAATTCTGCATTGTAAAACTGAAAGGTGTCACATTCTGGGGCATAGGGCTGAGCCCAATAGGGGAAATGGGGATAAATATTAAAGATGCTTTTAGGACATAAACATTTTGTTTTGTGATTATCCAGGATGTACTGATTCGGTTCCTGACAACAGATGACATTCGACTGAACCCAATTGATGCAGAAGATCCAGAGGTAAGCATTCTGTTTGGATAATCTTGTGTTGGGGTTATTCTGAGCTGTCCCACTTTTGCCTCATTTCTCTACCACTTTCTCTTTCATTTTGATATGATAAAACAGTTTTCAGTAAACAAATACCTCCAGTGAGTTTGTGTTTGAAGGTTGTGGATCCAAAGTCATAAGGAATTATTTTAAGTAGAAAGTATCTGATTGGCAGAGACTTTTTCAAATAGTTTGTAAGTTCCACTTTGTTAATTTGAAACAGAAATGGTTCAAATGTTTTCCATTAGTATTACCCTGACCGAAAGATATTACGTAATTATTAGGTGCAAAAAGAAATTCAAGACAAATACCATATTCTTAATTTGTCAGAAAAATCTTGTCTTCTCATTTAGCAGTTAAGTGATACATGTTTCTTGATCCTCTCATATTTAGTTAAAAATCCTAAAATGATGGCTTTCAGCTAGTATCGTTGTTTTGCATCTTTGATATAACTCTAAATGTGGATCATCTGTTTATCTCTTCCATTTGTTGTATCGGGGATTAAATGTGCTAATGAAGAAATACTGTTACATTTCATAAAAGAAATTTTAATTGTCATGGACATTTTTTCCTTGCCAGATATCTGACTACAACATGTTACCAGATGTAGCAAGATTAGCAGGAGACTTGAAGACATGCTTACAGGAGAGCGACGACGTCCCTAGAGACATCACATCATTATTTGATAACTCACTTTTTAAACTGGACACAAGTCTTGTTCCAAAGGCCATAAAGTAAGTATGTTTCTTAACCCCACAAGGAAGCTTTGTATTCTTTACTTATGCTGCTCTTAATGAAGATTCTTAATACTAATAATGGTAAATAACCAACATATTAAATGTATTAATTTCTAAATCCTCCTGACATTGAACTTTCTACGTTACTTAGTAGTAAACAAGCTTTTGATGTCATTAAATGTTCAAAGCATACCAATAAATGTATGTATAAGATTGATTAATATCAAAGTATATTCAGCGTTAAGGAACAGAACTGTCTGCTATTAAGAAATTATTACGATATCATCTTTTCTTTGCAGAGCTTTTACAGAATTACATACAAAGCATGAGCCTTTGACGTTAATCACACCTTCATTTGAGACTCCATTGCCGCCACTTAACCCAGCTGTAAGTATAACAAATTCACTTCAGTCGAAATTTTCTGCTGGTTCTTTTTATTCCTAACCTTAGTGTGGGCAGTAGATATGGTAATGCCAGGTTATGATCATAATTTCCTTCATATCTCTGTGAATTGAGTCCATAGTTTTAACAGTGTGGGATAATGGCAACATGTTACAATTTTGTTATAATTTTTTCTATTTGTATGTTGAACTTCTTTTTTTTTATTTTTTTTTTTATAAAAAAATGATTTCATATCTTTTATCTCTTGATTTTCAGGTGTTTCCTCCTACTTTCCGAGAATGCCCACCTCCCTGCTTAGATCTGTTCGATTTGGATGAACAGTTTTCATCAGAAAAAGTCAGACTGGCTCAGCAAACCAACAAATGTAAGACAAAACACTATATGTTTTGACACTTTCTGTGACTTGTGTGAAACATTATTTTATTAGAAGGTTAGAGATCTTGAAAAGGTGCTACATTTGTCATTTATCGTTCTTTCTTTGTCAACAGCAGAAAGTCTGTAGTAATAATTGGCATATAGCTTGCTGTGCTGAAGGGCTATTAGATTTACCCAAATTAATGACCTTGACCCAATTTTAAGATCACTAGGGTAAATAAGTTGAAAACTTTGAAAAACCTTTCTGGAGAACTATGAGACCTAGAGTCATGATATTTTACCTATACTAATAATCAAGGTTATTAATAAGTAAAATGTGTTATAATAGGTTCAAGCAACTTCTCAAGAACCACAGCTCCTGGAGTCATATTTGCCATGTAGCTTGATGAGTTGAAGGGTCACAAGTGTGTTTGAAAAAAATATCTTGACCCTTATTCAAGTAACAGGGGTCAGATGTGTTAAGATATTCAAGTAACATCTGATAGATATGAAACACAAGGCTTAGAGGCCTGCGTCTAAATGGAATGAAGGGCTGTCAAATTTGTACAAATCATGAATTTTGATCCACATCCAAGTCACAGAGTTTAAATGTGTTAAAATCTCCAAATTACTCGTTTGAACCTGAAAGCCAAATGTCATGCTCTTTATATCCCACAGGTACAGACGATGACCTGGAGTACTATGTACGGGAGTGTGGAGACATATTGGGAGTGACCACACGATTACCAGCAGATACACGTGATGCCAAACATATCCTGGAGTACATCTTTGCACAAGTAGTGGAATTCAAGAAACTCAACCAGGTACATGATAAAGCTTGCAAGTGTATTTACTTAGAGATCATCAAGCGAGATATTTTCAGTTCTATATCTATCTTAAAAATTCTTGCTCTGAAAATATTTTGTCTAGTCTGTCCAGTAATCCTCAAATGTATAAAGATCGTAACTTTGATACAATTTGATATGCACATGTATGGTCTGTTATTAGGTCACTGTAACCTTTGCCTAAAATTGCTGAGTTTTCTGTTTAAGTTTCTCCAGATCATAACTTTGAACTGTTTTTAAAAGTTGACATAAACAATTGATATAATCCCTAAAGTTGGTTTTAAATGTAGGTCAAACAACCTGGTGTACAAAAGTAATAATGACTCAGGCCCAGTTTAGCACAATCTGATAAAAGAAATGACAATTTAACACAACATTCATCTAGCATATATATATACAGAACTTCTAAACTAAAACTGTTGAGATTCAAAATGACCGACAACCGATTTAGACAGAAAGCACAAAAAGTATTTGTAAAATTTCTAGATACATTTCAATGTGCTTAGAAAGAATACACTATGTGTGATATATATAGCTTGTAAGGAAGTAAGGTTTATGTCCCCTGGCATGGTTTTGTGAAACTTTGTAATGTTTTTGTAAAAGAATTCACTAATAACCTGTTAACTTCATATGTCCCCTGTCTTTTCGCAAAAACTGGATTTTGAATTTGTATGCCCCTGCCGTAAAATGGGGGGGGGGGGGGGAGATATAGTGTTACCCATGTCCGTCCCGTCCCATGATCAAAGTGGTTGTTACTATTTATAGAACATCAAATACTGAAACTAATTTCAAATGGTGACAGGGGCATTCATGTCCTACAGACGTTTTCTAGTTAGTTTACATTTTCTTAATCATGACTCATTAATATAATTAAGCTTTAGACATTCAGACCATGGTATTACCATTGCAAATTCAGATTTCTGAAATTTCAATCCTGAAGAACTTACTTACCATGAGTTTGAATGTTTGAGCTTGGCATTATCAATGTGCAATGTAACTGAGATATGTTTTATGTTCCAGGATCAGGACTATGACCAGGGCACAGTACAGTATGGAGGAGATGGGGCTGGCGCGGACGCACTTGTTCTTTAACGGCAGATATGATTCGTGATTCAGTATTACTGCACTGACTGGTCTTGCAATACTTCAACTGAGTTGTGAAGTAACTGTGATAATATCTTTTACGGGAGACTTGTTGACATCACCACTAGAACAACTTTCATGTAAAGATATATGTTGAAATATAAATATCTTGAATGTGTTTCTTATATCAGTAGTTGTGATGGACCTTTGTGTACTCTTGTGACATAGAAAAAATGTTACAAATTTCATTAGTTTGAAATTAAATTTTCTGTAATATTGAGCCTAGATTATGGTGATATCAGTGATGAACAATTTCACATCTGAAGTACTAACCCAAAGGCAGATTTAAAAAGATTCTGCTACTTTTACTTTATATTGAAAGTTGTTAATAGCCTTGTTCTGGATGTTTGGCTTGTAGAATTGTCCACTCCTGTGGTTCAAGGTGACATATCCACTTCCCATAGACCATAATGCATTCATTGCATTCATGGTTGGAATGGTTTTCATTTGGGAATAAATTACATATCGTTTGGCATAGATGATATTGCAGCAAATTGGTGGAGTCTTTTTTGGGAGTACAAGGAGAGTTGGGAGATCATGCCGTGTGAATCTGCTATGGCCAAGTGATGTCCTCAAGAGAATTCCAGTTTGATTATAAATGTTATTGCAAAATAGAAATATTTGTAGTGTATAATCAGGCCTAGCATCAGATGCTGTTGCTCTATAGTAATCATTGTGTTGACCATCTGCCTTTCCGTCCAATCATTCATTTTCTGAGATTATCTCGGAATCCAGAAATCTAAAATTCCTGATGATTCACAGTTGTTATGTTATATACAGATGAACGGAGGGAGTCCAGCAATTGCTAGGTCATAAAATAAAGTGAAGGTCATTTACCGGCTACTCAAAATAAAATGGGGAAAAAATACTGTCAGAAAACACTATACCAGTGACCCATCAGTGTTCATTTTGGTATAAATGGTATTCGCTGGTTATCCTGCATTAACAATACCATTGTTTCTGGTCTCCACAGCAATTAATTCAACATGGTTACCAAGGCTTCTAATTGGCTAAACCAAGCCATAGAATGAATTATTTTACACATGGGATTTCATATCCAAATATTTTAAACTGTTGTCTGGTTAGTTGTATGTAGTTATTACATATTACAATGCATTATTGCATCCCTATAGAATATTTTTTTAGTTGACCTTTACCAATATATGCAAGAAATAAATTCCCACACAATGCATTTTCTTTTCAGGGGAGGAGGGGGTGTGTGAAAAATAACTTACAATAAAAAGTGTTTGCTCTCTAAGAGAAGGACACAGAGAGAGGTTGTCATTTCTATCCTTATTAGTGACTGTCTTACTACATATCATAATAATATACCATAGTTTGTACATTTTGTAAAACTGCATCCAGCTTTTTGTTGAACTATGATTGTACATTTTTTGTTGAACTATGATTGTACATCTGATAATTTGGAAGATAGATTTGATATGAACTATTCTGTAAATAAACAAATATTTATGAAATATTTGTGTGTTCCTTTTATTCTATACTGTAAGAATAATATGTATCAAGATAGTTCAAAATTAAATCTAGTATAATGCCCTATTTGAAAATCTGACTCTTGCCTTCACAAGATACTGCATATATATGGAAGAATTTTTTATGAACATAGCACTGTGCCTTCTCAGGATATGTAAGTAAAGCAAGTTTGGCAAATGAAGATGCAATGGTAAAAGGAGGGAGTTTAATTATGCTCTTGTCAAACTTAAGGGATGAAATATGAAGGGCTATAACTCTGTATTTAGTAGCGCACAAGGCACTATTTGAAAATCTGACTATTTGCCTTCAAAAATACAAACAATGCATATGGAAGAAGTTTGATGAATATAGACAAAATAATTAACAAGGAGGTTATGCTCTGGACAAACTTAGAAAAAATGACCAAAGGCCTAGCTCTACCTGGGGTGGGGAGGGGGGCAAGTAATCAATGAAGTGAGTATGCTCTGGGGAAAATAATTACATATACTAAAGTACGGTTATTTAATTAAGCCACAGACTTCGATAGCAATCTAATCTAATTCCGTGATCAAGCCAGGTGAAGTGAGAATGAAGATATGTATGTGCTCTGGACAAAGTGCAGTATAAATAAACAAAGGGCCTTAACTCTGTACATGTATTGTGGCATTAGTCCTAATTTCGGTTTGCAATATAGCAATTTTGGTGAATTAAAAAGAAATTAGTTCTGAATTGGCACAAAGTTTACCTATATATATATGTACACAAACAATGTACATATTAAATGTTGCAACACGTTTAATACCTCCATCATCATTGAAAAGAATATGTATACATGTATTTCCAAACGTATAGAAGATGTGACACGAAAGTTGTAGATGTCCAGCCAGCCATACAGGTATCACGCCATAATAATTCTCATAATTTATTGACTTATTAAAATGATGCTTTGGAAAGAGGAAACCTTGTTGCCAACATTCTTGAAATTTAGCTGAAGACTAATAGAGAAATATATCTACACATTTGGAAGGAACAAGAACGATAACTCTGGTAGGAAATTTTATCTATCGGCCGTTTTTTTAACACATTTGTATGTGCAAAGAATTAAAAATAAAAACTGTTATTTTTTGACAAAAGTTTTGATATGTATAAGATTCCCAATAACTCTTTATTGTTTAATCTTTACAATTGTTATTTTTGTTTTGTTATTTTCTACCTTTTTTACTCTTTTCTATCTTTGTCAAAGTGTCGGTCTTTGCGGTTAATAGTACACCTGTTATCATCTGTTTATTACTGCAAATTCACGTAATAAAACTTATTATAACGATGCTGGTATATTTACTTCGTAAATCATTCAATACGTGAAATATCAAAATGCAATTTAATCATAAAAAAACATTGCGAAAATTCCTTAAAATGAATATTCTCATGTTCTGTACCAGGCAAGAGTAATCGATAAGATGACCGGAAGACAATTATTGAGATTTTTTTTATTGAAACTTGAGTTTATTGCTGACCAGTTTGACTTGGGCGAAATAGGACTCTAAGGTTTAAAGACAATTTTGAGGTGTTGGTAAGTACTTGATTGAAATTAATATATGTGACAATCAGATAATTTGGATTTTTTCTTGCTGAAGTCGTCAAGAAGTAGAAACGGTAACAATATCAGTGACTAACGCTAAGGTAGGTCCTAAGTCGCGATTTGTGTCACAGGAATCGTCCATCAATCGACCTCTCAGGACACACTGAAGGCCTTTTGTTTTCCTACTATGTCAAATAATTTATTATTATCATTTATATACAATAACAAAGTTTGTAGCGTAAACTATTTGTGAACGAATCTGTAAAATACCGCACATTCCTGGACAAGGTGAGCTGCCTCAGGTGTCTTCGTGGGCGGGGCCCTCAACAGGTGGATACCCTTTTCAAAAATATGATTTCTCAAAAAACAGAGTTCAATGATTTTTTCATGCCACTTTACCTCAATTTACGATACTTATTCTGCATTTAGAAAGCATGACTTCTTCGGTTTTCGGAACAGCTTTGCAAACGATGGGTTGTTTCCCCTGGTTAGCACAGAGTCTTGTTTACATATTTGTAAGAATGGTTGACATCAGTTTGAAGTTCTCATAGTTAGGATGTTAGTTCAGATACGTTCAGAAGACCATTATGTTGAAATGTAACCCCTTATTTAACACAAAAATACCCCAATTTGTATATTAATTGATCTTCCAACCAATGTCAATGGGAACAGCAAAATTAAATAGGAAACTAGAATTTTTCGTCACTTTTCAAAAACAAACTAAATTCTTTCTGTCGAAAACTTTCCTCTCTCCATCTAAACCCTCCACTGACATTAATCTTCGAATTGATGAAATTGATCTACTCAAGAATATTGACAATATTAACAATTTGAGTAATATGCAAGCACAGGGTCTGAGTGTCACATTTAAACAAGCGTCATGATATAAAGTAGTAATATTCCAGACATATTCCTTGTCTGCTACACTATTCCCCCTCCAAGAATCTTGTCCCAAGACATGAAATGGGTCCTCCCTATGTAAAACTGACTATACAAGGTAATTAACCCAGGGCCGTCACAAGCCACGATGCTGCTACCAAATGTAACCTGTGAGCATGCATCCATCGCCACCGATCATGCTCAACGTTTCCCTCTACTAGTGAGCGGATCCCAGGGTTAACCGCATGACTGGAAAAGCTAGCTTGCCAGTAAGGCAGCTAGTATTTCTCCCTCATGATGTTCCTTTGTTGCTACATTTTTTTTTATACTTTTAACCGTTCATAGTGAGCTTAGTGACAAATCAAATAATCAAGTCTTTTGAAAGGTTTGAATATAACGTTAGTGCAGGCAAATTCGCCATGCACCCAAATTCGCCACCCTATGGCGAAAATGCCATATGACGTCATAATACATAAGATGTGACGTAAATAACGTCACCCATAATGTTCAACACTGTTAAAGCCTTCAAACATTTTGACAAGAAGAGGTGTAAGAAGGGAAAAGTTATTTTAATAATCAAAACGGTTATGAAATATCTTGTAACGCAAAGAATCATATTTTTTGGTTAAAAATTTGGTCTGTGCGATGGACATCTCGTCAACTAAACTCATTAATCTGAGGCCTGTTGGTTGTAACTTAGTTTCAATGTATTACATACAAATTGAAAATACCCATATCTCAATGCTAATTGCAGTAAGTGGTCGACTGAGCCGTCAATGGAAGTAAATTGTTTTTCTATACAAGTCAGTGTACATGTACTTGGTACATATCATGAAACAATCAACCAGTATATTTTATAAAATATTTTTGCATCTAACAAATTCAGCCATCTTACAAAACACTTTAATTAAAAATACCATCTAGAAATTTGCTAGATTTATATTTAAAAAGAATTTCGGTCGGCCTGAAAGTACAAGTATGTACTGTTTGCTGTACAATCGCTAATGATTACGTCAAGAGACCTAAATTACCTAAACCTGATTTTTACATGAAAAAGAAAGTACATATTTACAACACCTCGGTGCCAGGCTCTCTTGAATAAGTTTTCAAAACCAAAAAATCGTTTTAATTTCTCAGATGTTTTCCGTTGACGATCGGAGATATAGATTCTACATGTGACAAATTATCCAAAAGTTGGGGGGGGTGTCCGTCCCCCATCTTATGAAAACCCTGGAGCCTCTCATCCCGGCGGACTCAACAGATTTTTTAAAATTTTGGGCACCGATTTGGAAGTTTAGATTTGTTCAGGATTGAGTCTTTATTGCGATGCATGTAAATTGACCTCATCTCAGCCGATCAGCCATCTTACTCAAACAGCATTAACTAGTTTCTTCAAGTTATCGAAAATTAACTATCACAGCCAAGAAAAGCCATTTATTTCAATATTAATCATTGTTACACAAACACATTTGAAGCTGTTTGTATCAATACGACTTGTGTAACGTAAACATACAAAATTTTACTTTTAAACACTTACATTACTTGCAAATTAGTGAAATGTTTGAAGGTGGCGAAACTGCCTGCACCTTTGAGCAAAACCACGGAAGGCCTGATGACATTGCTGCGTGATGTCATTCAGGCGGTTTTACAACAATGTTTATTTATAGGAATTTCAGTCAAATCTTCTTCTGTACTGGTGCTCGTTACCATTTTGATACATGTGTATTTGATTAAATTATTAACAGAAACCTTTACTAATGTGACGAATTTGCCTTCACTGATGTTAGCTGCTGAATGTTTTATGTTGTAAAGCATTCACTGTTTGAAAACATTCTTTCAGAGTAAACTGAAAAAGAAAAGGATTTAATACAGTGTCAAATGATGCTGTCAATTACCCCGGTAGCTTTATTATTTGTAAGAGCCTGGTTTATGATTAAATGGTTGTTCAATTTTTGGTTAATATGTATTATGAGAGAAGGCTTTAATAAGTTAGAATAACTTGTGAATTTACCTTTGCAATATTCATTGATAAGAAGTATGTTCGCAAGTGAAATCTGTAAAGCATTTACAAATTTAGTAATTTACATGTCCATTGTATAGCCTCTACCTTGTATAAAAACGTTCTCAGCTCAGAATAGCATATCAAGTTTTAATACAAAGAACTTTACTGTATAACATATGCAAATTTTCTAATTATAAACTCTCCAGTGCTTTCTGTGGCACATGCTATGTGCTATCGGAGTAATCAGGGGACCAGTCATGACATAAAGCTAGATTTGATGGGAATTTATTAAAAAATTAATACATTTCAATTTAATTCCTTTGTATTATTTCCTCGAGAAAATGTTACATTAAAAGTAAAAAGGGGAGATAATCCATGGCAAAAGTTCCTAGGCCATGCTGCATATACACTGTATGCACTAATCCAACCGCTTTGGGCTGCTAACAACTGTTTTTACACTACATAATGTATAAACTTCAAGGTTGAATAAAGGTGATGAGAGCTTTATAGAATGTTTGGTGATGTGGATATCTCCTGTTAAGGAACCTGAAATCAGGTTGTGATATGCTGAACTACTCATGGTACAGATACTTAATATGATTGTGTTGCTGTTTTGCAGGTCCATGCTATCCTCGAGAGACTACTTGACATCGAAGTAATGTACATGTAAAAGATGTCGCTTGTATCAGGTAAGGGGATGTCCTTTTTGCTGAAATTTATTTCTGTGTACAAATACACGCAAAAATGTTTAAGTCCATCTGCTCAGCTGGATATGTGTTTGTTCCACCTCGGATGAAATTGTAAACCATGCAAATTGATATAGTGATGTTAAATATAAAACATCAAATTGTTTTGTGACCTTGTCATTACACATGATGTGTATGTTCTATTACTGTCATGTGTGTGTGAAAAAATAGTTTGGAAGCAATTAAGGGCTATAAGGTAAATTAAGGGCTATTAGGTAATTTAAGGGCTATCAGGTAAATTAAGGGCTATCCGGTAATTTAAGGGCTATCAGGTAAATTAAGGGCTATCAGGTAAATTAACAATTCACCTTTGTCCTTAACATACTTTCAAGATCACGAACAAATGTATGTCAGATGTTTTAAAAGCTTTGTCTTCTCATGACATTTCAAGAACCACAGTAAATGCAGTCATGATATTAGGAGCTTACCTTGCAAGATTATTCAAATAAATGACCTTGATGATCATAAATGATATTCAAGGTCACTGAGGTCATTTATAGACAAATGTGGTGTATGAATTACCACACAGTCTCTACATAGAGAACAGCTCTTAGGTCCCAAAATCAGTTTCAATGTGGAGGAAAATCAATCATGTGTTGTCTGTTAGATATCGGGATATAAATCCATATGTCGCATCCATATTGTCTGTGCGGTCAGCAGTCTAAGGGAGATTAGCATTTTAATTGTAATACTTTGCCTGTGGCTTTCATGCATGGGTGAATACATTGTAGGGCTATAGGCTAGGGCTGTCCAAATAAATGACTTTGATGGATATTGAAGTTGACAGAGGTCAAATGTGTTTAAAACTTTTAATGATTAAGACACTGAGTCCTACATTAACTTCACTTTGCCTTTAGCTTCAACGTAAACATTATAGGGATGTTCACATAAGTGACTATGAACGACATTCAAGATTACAGGAATAGATTTAGTTTTATTTATTTACCAACAACTATGAAACAACTTTTTCCAAGAACCCTTATTCCTTAAGTAAGAATGGTTGGTCTTCATTTAGCTTGCAGGAGTAAAGGGCTGTTCAAACTCAAGTATGTTCCAAATGAAATATAAAAACAAATTTACCTGCCATGCATGTTGATTGGTTTTCAAAGGTTGCAGCATTAGAGATAATTGACCAACACCATTAACAAATGAATGGTACAAACCCACATGTACCTCTTGTTGTGCCAGGTGGAAATTCCTCAATCAATGTGTCAGGGACTGTTTTCTTTTCATTCATTAAGGAATAATTTAATTCATGTGCATGAACCTGAGTTCAGTTGTGTTCAGCACAGTCAAATTCATAGACTTTTCAGCTGAAAGGTCATAGGTCAAAGTTATTGTTGAAAATAGATTATAATTTTCAGTTTTGTTCTCTTAGATCAATGAAATTCATAGTTCATACAGAGCTTTTATTGTTGAAAGCTATTGCCTGTTGGAATTGCTTTCAGGTCAAAGGTAAAAATATAAATAACTTTAGCATCCTTACATGTACATGTCAATAAGACTCAGTGCTTTCTTAGAATTGCTTTTAAGGTTAAAAGGTCAAGGTCAAGGTCAATTCGACTACTAATCGAACGTTAATTTAAGCATAATAACTTTGTTCTCTGGATTCAATTCATTTTCAACTTCTTACAGGGTTTCCTTGCCCAAAGCAGTTCCTTGAGACTCGTGTGTAGGCCAAAGCCATTCAGCAGTGTTTTCTCAAAGGTTTAAAAAAGTGGATGGGGTTTGCGTGGGGGATATGTTGTGGTATACAGAAATAATTTCAGAAGTTAGTGGTAGATTTTCATTTTTTTTTTACTCTAGAGACATTTATAACTAGATTAGTTTTGAGTACACAGTTTTAAATAGGTAAAACAAAATGAAAATCACAATTGTGTATTATAAATATTATTAGAAAAAGTTGAATGTCCTGAAGTATCACATCTGTGATTGGTAATCCCAAAGTGTCAAAGTGATCTAGAAGGCATGTCAGTTGACCACGTTTATTCTTGGTTTAATTACAGATAGCGAGCAAGCGTCCGGGTACCTGGAGCACCTACAGGCCCGTCTTTGGGAGCAGGGAGATCACTCTCAAGATGATGACATCACCTCTATCATGGCCATGCTGGACAGTCCTTTGTTCAGACAGCTTCTCACACTCCAGGAGTCGCTTACGGAACTGAAACAGGTCACAAACACATATCCAGTGAATGATGAGACCTTTGAGATCTCTTTGACAGGGGAGCTAATCTTAAACATGCCGCCAGACAGCATCAACAGCAGTAACCACCATGATCAGCCTTTCAGTGAAAGTACAGCAGATGGATCAACCCTTAACTACACTGAGAACCCCATTGTGACTCCGGCATACAACATTGAGTTCCAGAGGGCGCTAGAGAGGGCTTCTCAGGGTCGTCAGATAGAAATCATCAAACTGTTTAAACCCGAGAACAGCAGCCTTGGGTTCAGTGTTGTGGGACCTAAGAGGATGGAGAACCAGGTGGATATGGGAATCTACGTTCAGGAGATCCAGCCTGTAGGCATTGCTGCAAGGTAGGTGTTTGTTGTTCTTAAGATTTGTAAACCTTTTCTGGTCAGGCTGTCATAATATACAGAAAACCAACACTGTATAACACGAACTGCTTGTGGATACTTTCCTCTGTGGTATGAACCTATTGAGATTGTTTTTTTCCTGTGATACAAAACATGTTACATCTCAGGAGGGCTGATTGTCAATGTATTGAGTAAGGGTCTCAGTGTCCCTCTGTTATAACAGAATTATACAGGACTTTTGTTCGTTGTGGATACCAAAGTTTAGAGCATAACTTCCTTGTTATAACACCTATTTCACCAAACTTGGTATTATTAGTCCCCTACCGGTGAAACCGGGGGGACTATAGTTTTCCCCTCCGTCTGTCTGTCTGTCTGTCCGTCCGTCTGTCCGTCCGTCCGTCTGTCTGTCTGTCTGTCTGTCCGTCTGTCCGAAGAGGTTTGTCAGCACTCTAGAGCCTTCATTCTTTCATGGATTTTAAACAAACTTTACACACATGTAAAGAATTAAAATATCTTCAACAAGTTCAAGTTTCAAGGTCATCGGATCAAGGTCAAGGTCACTATTACTATAAATAAAAAAACTTTGTCAGCACTCTAGCGTCTTCATTCTTTCTTGGTTTTTAATCAAACTTCACACAGTCATAAAGAATTGAAATATCTTCGACAAGTTTGAGTTGGACAGGTTCGAGTTTTAAGGTCAAATGGTCAAGGTCACAGTTACTATAAATAGAAAATTTTATTTAACATTCTTCCTTGCCTGTTTATCAAACTTCACACACTTGTAAAGATACCTTTACATTCAACAAATAAGATTTCTTAGTATTTTTATTCCCTTACCGGTGAAACTGGGTGGGGGTGGCAGGGGGGGAGAAGAAAACAAGAATACCTAAAGTTTTCCTCGCTGTCTGTCCTAAGAAGTTTGTCAGCACTCTTACGCCGTCATTCTTTCCTAGTTTTTAATCAAACTTCACATTATTGTAAAGAATTTAAATATCTTGGACAATTTCAAGGTAATCGGGGCAAGACAAGGTCACTATTACTATTTTAGAAAATCTTTGTCAGCACTCTAGTGCCTCATTCTTTCATGGATTTTAGTCAAACTTCACATTATTGTAAAAAATTTCAATATATTGGACAAGTTCAAGCTTCAAGGTCCTCGGATCTAGGTTGAGGTCACTGTTGTATCTTAATAGATTGCGGGGGCCGGTAGGGGACATGTATTGCTTCAGCAATACTCAGTATGCTTGTTTACCTGGTATTTCATTTGGTATTATTTACCTGGTATGTCACTTGGGATCATGGAGTGTCACATGCTGGAATCAGGTCTTGTCACCCTGCTTTATATACCATTATGGCCTTTTTTTTTTTTACCAAATTTTTAGCCCATCATCATCAGATGGTTGGCTATTCAAATTGCATTTGTCTATGGCATGTCCATCCTTAAACAATTCTTGTTATATATATCGCTGTATATGTGCAGATCTTTCTCGAATTTCCCCCTCTTGGTCTCTAGTTGTGCATGTGTCATTTTGAGACTGATCAAAAAGCAAGATTGGTCTGTAGATGGCATTTTTCATTTTAGGACTTACCAGAAAAAAACAATATGGCTTCCAAGCAGCCATCTTGGATTTGAAAGTTCAAGATGGTCAAAACTATTTCTCAAGAAGTACTGAACAGATCTTTTTCAAATTTCATGTGTTGTAGTCTTAGAATTTAAAATAAACATTAACACACTATAGACCATAGTCCATGTGATATAAAATTCTGATAGACTTACTGAAATTTTGATAGAGCAAACATGGAACAAGAACATTTTACTTAAATATTTAGTGATTAATAGCATTAAAATCAGAAAATTTGTGTATACATAATGATAATTAAGGGAAAGGATTTTACTGAACGCTTTTTACCAAAGGACTATATTCATCTTTGAATCATAAAGGCATAGGAAATAACTCCATAGACAATGGTCTGTGAAGAAAATGACGATTCCAATACACCTACAGCGCTTTTCATGGTGATTATCTATGGGTCTACAGTTATGTTTGAACACTGATGTAGGTTCCAGATGGTTCATAGTTATCTATTGCTGTTTCTCGGAAAGTGCTTGAAGCATCAGTTAAATATGGCCGTCACCATTTCTCCAGAAATACTTGACAGATCTTTTTATGTGCATTTTGCTTGGTCCGTAGTGCATGCTTCATTTTGAGGCTGATTTGAAAAACAAGATGGCTGTCAGGTTGCCATCTTTGATTTTAAGAGTTCAAATTCGTTATTGCTGTTTCTCAGATATAAACAATGATCTCACTTTGATAGGACACTATCAAACCCAGCTGTATGAAACTTTAATAAAAAATTACCCCCAATATGTATTTACTGCTGACAAGCTTAAGACTATTAATCAAACAGATGAGAGAAAAGATGAGAAATAAAAAGAAAAGATCAAGATCTTATGATGGTGGGCACGAAGATCCCTCTCTGATATGTTGTTTCATGATTGGCATTTTGATTTAAGTTGGCTTGTCAATTTCTCTTTCTGTCTACCACATCTTACTCCAGAAATCACAGAACAATAAATTAGTATGATGAATACAATATATGGTGAATATGTTGTGACAACCTCTAGAGGCCCTGTTAAATAATTGGTGAGCAATATCGGCCCCTTTGGGCCTCATCTACACCCTCCTAAGTAATTATGGACCATACATATCAGATGACCCTTAGTAGAATGTGGTTACATTTTCTCAGCTGGTCACTAATCAATATATACCTAGTTTTGTCCAGTAATGGACATACACTTAACACAGACCAATATCACAGCCATTAGCTGCGTCTAAATGAAGATGGGTGGACAGACACTTAAAGTTAACATACACCAATATCACAGTCATTAGCTGCGTCTAAATGAAGATGGGTGGACATACACTTAACACAGACCAATATCACAGTCATTAGCTGCGTCTAAATGAAGATGGACGGACAGACACTACAGACCTCAAGCTAGATAGATATTGATGTTGAATGTTTTCTTGTATAGAGTTTCAAGTACTTAACTTCTGTTTGGATATAACTGTAGCCCAGTCAGGCCAGGACATTTCCGGTGACCAAATAGCTCAAACAGTTATAGAGCAATAGAACAACAATCTGAGGTCCAGTGTTCAAATCCCGGTGTAGCCACGCTGATTTTTTCTATCAGAACACTGTTGTTGATTATACTTTGTTGATTATACTTTGTTTATTTCATCTGTATTATTATTTCTCAATAGGCTCACAAGGTATGACTTTCTTTTGAGAATTGATTTGTCAAAGCTGCAGTCCTGTTGGGGATAAAAATGTTTTCAATTCTTACTGTGTACCAGGAAATTTTCGCTGCCATTTAATTTTGGCTTTTTTCGCCCTCCCTTATGAGAGAAATTTATCTTTACAGCTAATATATGTTAACAGTAAAGTCAGTATAATAAACGTAGCAATTAAATGTGAGGGCGAAATTAACACTGGGCGAAAATTGATTTCCTGGGCGACTGGTGAAAGTCTGACTGGGCGATGTTAACCAACATACATTAGTTACAGGTTTTAGCAATGGTACGGGGGTCCTTAATCAGGATTTTGTTTTTTGGTTTACCTCCTTCTCTATTCAGACCACAATTTAATAATTTGGACCAAGATCCAACTCCCGCTGTCGATTATATGTATGATTTGAACACGAGATAACCAGGGAATCATGGGGCTGTACAACCTTATGGGTACCCATGTCTTCAATATCTAGCTATCAGTCTATATATGCTTCAATGAACTCACATTTGATGAAGAATAGATACTTCAATAAAATAAACTTAAAACAAGCTGTCGCCAATCTAAGGTGGTGTCATTTTGTACAACAAAGCAAACGTCCAATGTTGATGTCCTGGTTTGATTGTAAATCGATAGAATTTCTCAACAAAACAGAACAAGAGGCCATCCAACTTGCAAAGTTTTGACATTCTGCTTATCTTCACCTACAACTGAATGTATTTTGAAAACTAAGCTGACCATGCTTGGTGTTGTATTGGCAAATGTACTCGGAAACTGACAATGCTTATATTATGGCGCCAATTTTACCAGCCAGCGTCAAATTTCCCGTTCTCTTGTTTCCGACACTGGCCTGTCCCCTGATGCAGATACAGGATACCTCCATGACCCCTATTTTAACTCTGGAATATTTCCTATGTATCAGTTTATTGTAATCCTATAGTCTAGTAACAGCAGAGTAAACAAAGAGGCAGTCTAACATTGGGTAAACCTGTAGAACTGCTCCTGATTGACACATTTTATCAGTGCCAACATTGTGTCCCCTTACTTTTATGAAAATGCTGAATATTGTAGGTGTTGCAGAAAACAGTTAAATCATACTCACAAAATTAGAATCAATCAATTTCTGTTATTAAAATGACTGCAAATATAGGGCATCACTTTGATTAATCAAAAGCCAATTAATACACCCATAGTTTAACTGTGACCTTTCCTATCCTTGTGGTAAACCCTAAAAATAGTCCTAGAGCAAAATCACAATTGTTGCTTTTCTTTTTTCGTTTCTTTTCTTTTCTTTTATTGGCATTTTCCTGGCATATTTCATTATCATTTTTTTTTTTTTTTTTGATAACTAATTTGAGTTACATAAGCGTGATAACTAACAAACCCATTGTTGAGAAACCTGTATGGATTGCTTCACATATGGTAAGCTACCTATACTACAGATGGCGTACCAACACTGCCCATGACCTCAGATATAAGACCAGCCGATAATGATATCGTCAAATAAGTCTAGCCATCATGTCATCTTTCTTTGATATTTTAACAAACTTGTCTAAATTATAGGAGAAAATTATTGGGTTGGGGATATTTTGTCTTCTTGGTTATAATAAAAAGTCTGGTACTTGCTCAGCCTAATTGTACCGAAACTGAGTTATTGAATCCTCAGGTGGAACATTTCTTTTTCAAATTACTGTATATGAATTATCCGC